AAGATCTGATTATCTATTTTTGTATCCTAATTATAATATAGATATATTGTCTCTCGTATAAGAATTTTCTTCTAATAATTTGAAAATTGATTATTTTATGTCTACTTTTTAAATATTTATTACCTAAATATATATTCATCTAATATAATCTATATTAAATAAGATAAAAATATTATATGCTTTTATATTGCTTCAATATCTCATTGCTTTCACAGATGACGACGGTATTGGACAGTAGCTATCAACGTATACAGCCTTACGAGGGGCAAGAGGAAGACGCGGACGATGAAGACGATCGTGAGGAGGCACCTCAAGAATCAGGTGTCATCATCCATGTGGTACCGGAGGGTAACAAAGCACGATGGAATCACATCGAAGACCTAGATTCATTCTTCACGCGAATGTATCACTATCATCAGCAGCATGGCTTCGTCTGTATGATGCTCCAAGAAGTTTTGGAATTACTGCAATTCTTTTTTGTAGTCACATTCGTTACCTACCTCTTTCACTGCATCGATTACAGCAAATTATATAGGTATATAAGTCAAGTTTGAAACAAATTATTATGCGATACGCGCATCATTTTAACAGATATTTAATCGATGCTCTATATTTTTAGTGGCGGTGGAAATACCACCGATACCAGCCACAAAAGCGATGCGATAATGTGCATGGGAGATTGTATAAAGTCGATCTCTTCATTTTATTGGAGTCTTCTCGTAGTCGCGACAATTTTCTTTATCCTCCAATTCTTCAAAGTTTTGTATCACCTTACGCAGTTCTGGGAGATCAAAATGTTCTTCAATACAGCGCTCAAAATCGCCGACAGCGAGCTAGATAATTTTACGTGGCACGAAATACAAAAACGTGTAATAGAAGTGCAGAAGGAGCAAGAGATGTGCATTCATAAAAGAGAACTTACGGAATTAGATATATATCATAGAATATTAAGACATAAAAATTACATGGTAGCTATGATCAACAAATCACTCTTACCTGTGCGACTCAAAGTCCCCATTATAGGGGAAGTCATTTTTTTAACACGGGGTTTGAAATATAATATAGAACTATTACTATTTTGTAAGCATAATTGCATAATATGTATACGATGTAACTTTATTAGAAATAATTAATTTATGTTGCTTTTCTAGGGGGACCATGGTCACCATTCGAAAATAATTGGCATCTAAAAGAAGATTATAAAAAGTTAAATAAAAGGCAAGAACTCGCACGATCATTGTCTAAACATATTCTGTGGGTCGGTATCGCAAATTTCGTCCTGTGTTTCCTTATTCTTCTATGGCAGGTTCTTTATACGTTTTTCAATTATGCTGAAGTGAGTAATTACGCTGATTTATAGTAATCAATGTTCGCGCGTTCAACAGAATGTTTATGGAAGTTTTCTTCGCGATGATTGAATTATACTTTGATCTAAAGGAATAGTACCATTTCAGCAAAAAACTTCCAACAGTTGCAAAATAAACATTCTGCTAAACACGGCCAATAATTTGTTTAACATGATAATCAATACTAACATATGACAATAATATTATCGACAGACTATTAAACGAGAGCCAAGTGTTCTGGCGATGCGGACGTGGTCCCTATACGGTCGATTGTACCTGCGACATTTCAACGAACTCGATCACGAAATGAATGCGCGTCTCAGTCGCGCGTACCGTCCTGCTTCGAAGTATATGAGCAGCTTCACGTCTCCGATGATGACAATAGTCGCAAAGCACATAGCGTTTATCACCGGTAGCGTATTGGCAGTGTTACTGGTTATAACGTTGATCTATGAACCAATATTCTCGATGGAACGCGTAGTTGCGTACATGACTATGTTAGGAGGAGTGGCAGCATGCGCGAAGGCAATTGTACCCGATGAGAATCTAGTGTGGTGTCCCGAAACTCTTCTAACTGCTGTGCTGGCCCACACGCATTACAGACCGGATAGTTGGCGAGGGACTGCTCATACGCATACTACCAGAGCCCAGGTAGCACAGTTATTCCAATATCGCGCGGTGCATCTGTTGGAAGAATTGGTTTCTCCATTCGTGACAACATACATTTTGTGCTTCCGTATGCGACACCGAGCCTTAGAGATTGTAGACTTTTTTCGTAACTTCACAATTGAAGTGGCTGGAGTCGGTGATGTGTGTAGCTTCGCTCAGATGGACGTACGTAGACACGGCAATCCCATGTGGCAGACTGTAGCGCACAGTCCCACGGTCTCTCCGCTGCCAGAGGAGAAACTGCATCATAGTGCAGGATACGACAATCAGTACGGCATCGATCCAGACAAGTACCACGTACCGATGTCGAATCATTATACCCAGGCTGAAGACGGTAAAACCGAATTGTCCCTCATACATTTCACTCTGACGAATCCCGAGTGGAAGCCGCCGTCCCATGCGGAAAATTTCGTAACTGCTTTGAGAGAAAGGGCTAAGAAGGAAGTAATTGCCGATCCTGATCCTTATAACAATCCCCTAATAGCTAGTTTGAACAGTCTGTCCGGTCTTGGCGTAAGTGTTCGATATTTCTTTCGTTTACTAAATAATTTTACTTATAGAGTTGTTTGCTTCATGTATCATTAATATATTAATATATTGTTACAGTATAGAGATCATGTTTCGAATGTTATTCGAAGTACAATAAATCAATCGAATATACCTAGCACGAGTAACATTTTCACAAATCAGCCGGGTACATCAGCCACATCGGTCGGCGTCGATCAGTCGTTTGCCACAAGATCTACCGTTCGACGACGAGGTGTGTCGAGGACGGAAGGTCCATTGCACAATGATAGAGGATTCCTGTATGATTTGCAACAAGGTATATCGAATCAGTCGCTAGGTGCTTCTGTATTCGGATCGGGCCACAGTTATGTTATGGAGACACATACAGATCCGTATGCACCTACAGAATTAACCGCTGCCGATATGTCTTTGTCTACATTGTACCTGCATGAGCTTCATCATAGACAAGTAAGTATTTTGATTAATTTTCATGATGCAATAGACGTTGCGAGTACAATGTAACAAAAAATGTTGCAAGCAACTTTGACAAGATATATAAAAAATAGAAACGTTTGATCTCTAGGTAAGAAGAAGGGGTTACCAAGAAATGGCAACGAGAAGTATATGGCAGCGAAGTCCCGTTCAAGAGCTAGCAACACTTCCCGAGGTTAGACAAGAAAGAATACCTCTTCTGTTGCATCAGGATTCCTCTTTAAGAAAAAACAGAGAGTCCTAACATTAGAAATTTCATTTATAGCATCCGATTCGCGCAATAATCATCATTTTTAGAGGAATAAAGTGATTTTTATCTGTTTTATTATATAACGAATCCATGATTTATTTTACAATAAATAAGTAGTCGCAATATCCGAGAGTGAAATCGTTTGAACATTCTCGGTGTTATATAGAAGTTATTATGTCTTCTAAATATTTTACACAGAATGCAGAGAGAGCATATGCTTCGTTCTCTCTTTTTCCCTCTCTCTTCTTTCTCTGTGTGTGGCCAACGATCTAATAATGCCTATTCTTAATATCAAAGGCCTATTTAAAAGCTTACATTTTATATGTAAAATATTCACACTTAATATTATTATATTTTATATTTTGACGTAATGAGCAAGACTCTATAAAAAAGTACAATTGATTTAAAGGATTAGGTCCAATATAGCATTATAAGTGGAAATTTCGATATTTTTTAAAAGAAGTAGTCGATATATGATGTAATGTTTCTACGAATTTTTCT